ATATTTAAACTGCTGGTATACTCTCAATTTAGAACACCCTGTATTCAGATACAAAATCAACCGCCACCTGACAGCAACAACAATTCTTTGACAGCTGAAATCATCCGCTGTTTTTATTCGGTGGCTTGTTATTTACAAATGTTTTTCGGATGTTAGTGAAATATTAATAAATATTTATGAAATATGTCCAAACCTAAGAAGTCACGAAAAAATAGAAGCACCGACGATGATGTACACTCCGAAAACAGCGACAGCGATATTCACAATTCTGAGGCAGAGTCAAGGCATCACGAGCACAAAAAAACTGCCAAAAGTGGCTTAAAACATTCAAGCAAGAAAAATCGATCCAGTAGCAGTAGCTCCAGTTCAACTTCTGCAAGTGAATCGTCAGATTCGTCTGAGGAGCCCAAGGCATCTAAACGGAAGGAGAATGATGGCAATAAACAACGGGAGCGTAGTACTGGGCGGGTTGAACGAAAGCAGCGGCAACGCACGCGTAGCCGGGAGCGTGAAGAGCTGAGTAGTGGAGACGAGCCAAATGTTTCCAAATGGGACAGTCCTGAGCGGCGGGCACGGCAACGTAGCAGAAGCCGACAACGGCGAAAGCACAGCAGAGAGCGAGAAAGGAGTGAGGAACGTGATGCAGGACAGTCGCGGGGTGATCGTTATGAACGCGGAAATAGATCGCGGGGTGAATACGCAGGTAGAGAGCGTTTCCCTTACAGGCGTGATTACCACGAACGTTATGATAATAGAAATCACAATGAGCGATGGAGAGATGAACGATTTAAAAGGAGCGACCGTTACAACGATCGCAGGGAGTAAGTAACTTACATTTGTAACTACATACTATATAGATGCTAACGTACAATTTATCAAAATTTCTACTTAAGAAACAGTCGAAGTCCGCGACAACCTAGACCGCGTGGCAGATCGCCAGGAGACGACAGAAGTAAGCGTGAACCTAGAGATCACTCAAGAAAACAGCACTCGCCGTCAAGACGTGGACGTCCGCAGCGCAGAAATTCACGTGAAGACGATAGCAAAAATTATGAATGGGGAGGTAAAAGTGCAGCTGATAAGCACCATGGCTTATCGTCAAAAACAGAACCTGTTGAAAAAGAAAAACCCAATTTTGGCCTAAGTGGCGCGTTATTGGAAGACACGAATAAAGTTAATGGAGTAGTTGTAAAATATGCTGAACCACCAGAGGCACGAAAACCAAAACGCCGTTGGCGTTTATACCCATTCAAGGGGGAAACGGCACTACCAACACTGCACATACATAGACAAAGCTGCTTTTTGGTGGGACGAGATCGCAAAGTAGCTGATTTAGCTGTTGATCATCCTAGTTGTTCAAAGCAGCATGCAGCTTTACAATATCGGCTAGTGCCATTCGAACGCGAGGATGGCACACAAGGTAAACGTGTGCGGCTCTATCTTATTGATCTAGAATCGGCAAATGGCACATTTTTAAATAACAAGAAAATTGACCCGCGTAAATATTATGAGATAATGGAAAAGGATGTTATTAAATTTGGTTTTAGTACGCGGGAATATGTACTATTGCATGAGAATAGCAAAGAAGATCAAGAGGATGACGATGTATTTGTTAAGCCGGAACCGGAAGATATACCAGACGGACCCAATCCCTAAGTGAATTGTGACACCATCATGGAGATTTGCGATTTCATAGAAATGTAAGGGACATTGCATCATATATTAGTTATTACATATGTATATATGTGACGACTTTCCATTTAAAAGAATTTTTAATAATGTTTGCATGAAATAAGAAAACAAGTTTAATATTGTACATTAGAGGATTTCTTCTTTCAAATTATACCAAATTTAATGCCGGGCGTTTAGCGCTATTTAAGTTTTTGTTAGTTTTGGGTACGTTGAGCTAGAGAAAAAACGAAAAGTGGGCGTGGTTTTACTGATTTTCTGGTATACATTTTTAGGATGTAAAATTTAAAAGTTTTAAAGGGATGTATCTCGAAAATAAAGTGAGTCTCATTGGAGGGGT